TGGATTGTCTTTGTTCGACAAATTGACACTGGCATAAAATCTGGGTACAAGGAAACTGAAATAATTGAAGCAGTGATACGTGCAGTGAGCCCTAGTTTAAAATTGCGCTGATACCTAGAAATGATGAGTGAGTAGTTTAAGGGCACATTTCAAGGAAAAGTCTGCAACAGAAATTTACCAGGAACTTGCACAATTGTGCCAAGGTCCCAAAGAATCTGCCCAAGATTTCCTGATCAGAGCAATGAACTTACGCCAACACTTCATTTCTCATCACAAACAGTAGATAGCACTGTAAAGTATGAACCGTCACTGGTTCAATCATTGTTCATTCATGTTGTCGAGACTGGGTTGCAACAAGAATCCATCCGAGCCAAACTACGCCCCCTCCTTGAGAAACCAAGTGTCAATGATGAGGAACTGATGGACAGAGTCAATCTAGCTGTTTCGGCTGCGACAGAACGACAAAATAAAATGGGAGTGTTGGTTAAAAAGAGCCTACATGTCAACCAGATTAATAATAGCCCAGACTCTGGCCAGGAACCTCGGAATCAAAGATGAGAAAGAAAATCGGTAATGAAGAAAAGGAGTGCAAATCTAATAAGTCGGTCGCAGCCTTGCAAGCGGTACAGTCTGACCTAGCATCACTAAAGGAAGCTTTTAACAAGTCACAAATATCTGGTAAAGATGCATCCAAACAAGGTCCAGATCAGCGGAGCCAGTACTTTGTGTAAGAAATGTCAAGAGTCAGGTGAGGAGAAATGCATTCATTGTTACAAGTGTGGTTCGACAGAACATTTTGCTAGGGGGTGTAAAAAGCCCCAGGGAAACGAAAGGAGGCTACGCCCGGGGCACAGGGAGTAGCCGAACAAATTCATCTGTCCCATGCTGTTTAAACAATGCAGTAAATGCAACTTTTTCCAGTATTGTTCAAATGTATGTCAAGAAAAACACTGGGGTGAACATAAATCCTTGTGCAAGGAACTTTCACACTTAAATGAACAAAACATTATAAATAGAGAAGTTAATAATGGAACATACGTATGTCATTTGTCGCCTAAAGAAGGCGCAACTGTAGCTCGGTTAGTTGGGAAAAAATGCAGTGTTAAATGTTTCCTCAATGGGGTGGAGTCAACTGCTCTTTGCGATACTGGAGCACAGGTATCCATAGTGCCTCGTGATTGGGTCTTGAAGAACTTGCCTAAAGCTCAATTGCGTATTGTAGAGTCCCTTCTTAGGGCGAGTGAGCTAGATCTAAAAACAGCCAATGGGACAGCGCTACCATATGATGGATGGATTGAAATAGATTTTAAATTAATGGGGGCAAATCATGATTAGAGAATTAAAGTACCTTTCTTGGTGGCAAAGAATGTATTAGATTTACCTATCATTGGGTATAATGTTATTGAAGGAGTCACCCAAAACTCCACCAGTGACGAAGACAACCACGTTATCTAGATGCACTGTCTTCAAGCATGGTTGGGGTGGAATGGGATAGGGTCGAAACCCTTGTAGAGTTCCTAAAGGCTGAGAGGCCAACTGAGCTATCTGTACTTAAAACTACGAAAAGGAACATAGTTATTCCACCTGCCCAATCAGTCAGAGTTTCCTGCCATGTTAATAATGTTGGTTCTATCGAAGACAGGATACCGGTGTTGTTCGAACCAAACCTAGAATGGCCGTGGTCTGATGGTCTTGAAGTTCCAGAGACACTGACAACGATTTCCAGAGGATCACGAGTTAATATCCAAGTAAATAACCCCACTAGGCACCCAATTGTTTTGTGAAAGAGAACAGTGTTAGGTAGAATTCAATTGGTCAGGTCCATAACCCCCCTGGAGGTGAAACAAGTTCAACAGACAATGGTAAAAGAAAGTGGACATTTTGGTGAAAAAACTAAAGTGGATATTGCCAGTGCTGTGAGCACCAAAGAGAGACAGGATTGTCCAGAACCTTCCAATGAAGGTGCATCTAGTTACGTTCCAAATGTTGACCTTGAAGGACTTTCAAATGAACAAAAATTAATAGTACAAAAGATGTTACAAGAGGAATCTGAATCATTCTCGAAAGCAGGGGAAATAGGGAACGCTAAAGGTTACAAATGAATATCAATCTTACGGACTTGATCCCGGTACAAAAGACTTATACAGCTGTGCCGCGACCCCTTTACCCTGAAGTTAAACAATATGTAGAAGATCTTTTAAATAGGGGGTGGGTATGGAGGTCACAATCAGCCTATTCTTCACCAGTTGTCTGTGTGCGAAAGAAAGATGGGACACTCAGACTGTGTGTTGATTATAGACAGCTACACCAGAAAACAGTCCCAGATCGACATCCCTTGCCTCGAGTTCAGGCTACACTGGAGAGTCTTGGCAGAAATAATTGGTTATATACGGCTGCCAAAGGACTAACTAGGAATTGTTTTTTTCTTAATACAAATAAAACACAAATGGCTTCCGTTTGTTTTGAATTTTTTAAATAAATAATAAAACAATTATTGAATTCAGTTTTTGCACACAGCAAACTTTGGGCTTGATAATTCTTCATATCGTGCTCAACCTCATTCAATAAATGTTAAATATTAATTAAAAACTGTTTTTACATCAAGAGTTAATAGTCCCTTATAACTGACTGAGAAGTTTCTCAGTTTAGGAAGCAAGTCTCCTGGTCCATTGTTCATTGGTCCCTGTCCATTACGCATTGCGCACGCTCACTTAACTTCACAGTATTGTGATGTCTGGGGGGGAATTCAAACGAGTAAGTCAGTCAAGTCAGTCATTCATTCATTCAGTCATACAGTAAACTTTCCGGGGGGTGTAGACGATTTATGTTCGTAGTGATTTATTGTACTTAATCAGTGCTTTGGAGGTTATTTAGGCAATTTCAGTTGTCCTCTTTAAATATCCTAACCCGTTGTCATTATGCAAATTTTATAACATTCGCTTCTTGTTGGTTTTTCGTGTTGTGTAAAGGATTTCCCCCCGGAACACCCGATTTTTTCTTTAGCAGCGCAAATGCGCATGCGCTATCAAGCTGTAGATCAACGATAGTGTGACGATGCTACGAAGGAGCGAGGCAGTGTTGTTTTCAAATATATAAATATTTTAGACACGAGTATTACTATTACAGCTAGTAAATCTTTGAGAATCTGCGCAATATATAAATTGATGTTATGCATTATGGGCATTCAATCAAGTACCAATAGTATTTTATCACGGTATATTTATTATATGAAGCTGGGAAGGAGCTAGACAGTACTTTTTTCAAATGCATAAACATTTCATTTTCAGAATTCAGATGTAAATATTGAAAAAATCTTTGAGATTCTAGGCATTCAATTAAGTGTCGATATTATTTAATTTATTTTGATGGTATATTCATTATACAGAGCTAGGAATTTAGGAGCCATACAGTTTGTTTTTAAATATATAAACATTTCAGACATGAATATCTTGGATTCTACGCAACATATAAATTGATGTTTTGTATTTTACCGGCATTCAATTAATTAATATTTTAAATGCCGATATATATATATATTACTTATATTTATTATAGGCTACATCGACTGTATAAGGTGCTACCTATGGGTGCTACACTTAGTACTGTACAAAGAGCAGTCAGTAGCATATTAAAACAACTATTAAAGGACATTGGCAATAAAAAATTAGTTTGTCTCATTCAAAAAAACTCTTAAAATTATGTATTAAACTCTATTACCGATTTGTCATATCTTGCTTAGTTCTTGAAATTTTTAGACCGAAATTAATGATTATTGATTATGAAACTAATTATTGACCTCATTAACTGTGGTTTTGATGACGTCAGGAGTTGGGTTAACCATATAAAACTACTCTAAAATGACCGAGTAACAATCCAAAATTGTTTGAAATGTTTTTAATCACTTCTAAATTTCAGACAGCCACCAGAAACGAACTTTTGGACTCATATTTGATCGCTTACTCTCAAGACAAAAAATTAGCGTGACCCCTCTCTTGACGTAACATGCATATCCTCAATAATCCAAGATGGCGAACAACTCACTTTTTTCAGTCGAAATATTTTGAAAACTAAGCAAGATATAAACAATCTGTAATAAAGTTTAATATCTTGTGGCGTTAGTAATGCCCCCACCTTTTCTGTGCTAAATGTTATATAGTTATTAATAATTTTTCTTGTTAATTATTAAAAATTGATTAAAACAATAAAGCGGCTATGTGCCAACAACCGGGCACATAAGCCATAATTATGCCATAAAGGCTTTGACTGGTCTCGTAGTATTCGGCAGCACAGAAAACCGAGCTCAACCTGACAAACAGTTTGCCGATGGTGGTTTAATATATGCAGGGAAACGATAAAGTTTAATATGTAGTTTAATGAGTTCTTTCAAATGAACTAAACTAATTTTTTATTGCCAATGTCCTTTAAACAGAAGCGGTCTTTGTATCATTGTATGGCGTTATAATACAAAGAAAATATAACCATCAAAATAACTTGTTGCGAGACTATAGCCTGTTGCGAGACTAAAGAAAATCTCTTGACTCATCAGAGCTCTTTATTCAAACGAGAAAGACGAGGAATGCTCGATTGGCCATTGGGCTCTACCGCTTAAGTAGAGGTGATTACTTCTTTACTATATCCGAAATGATACAGCTTGGTGTGTCTACTATTTGTACCATTACTAACGAAGTTACAATTGCAATTGTCGAGAACATGTGGGAACAATCTGTCAATCGCCACATGCCGAAAAGCGAAGAGGATTTCAGGGAAAAATACTTGACATGCAGGAAATGTGGCAGTTTCCCTTCTGCTGGTCTGCCATAGATGGCTGCCATATACCTATTAAATGTCCGCCAGGTGGGGCAGAATCAGGAAAAGAATATCACAATTTCAAGAATTTCTTCTATTCTGTGGTAGCAATGGCCCTTGTTGACTCCAATTACCGTTTTATATGGGGAACATGCGGTTTCCCTGGGAACTCACATGACTCAATAATATTACAATCAATACACCTTTGGAAGAATATAACAGAAAACAATTATGTTCCATCTATTGCACAGGATGTGAATGGCATAAATGTGGCCCCACTGGTTCTTGGAGACTCTGCATTTTCCTGTAAGCTGAAACAGCCTATTAAACCTACCACATCAGTAGGTTCTGTTATTTCTTCCAAACCAAGCACATCCTTATCAAACTCTGTTCCACATTCCAGTAGTCATTGTTCTGGCAATTTAAAGTCTAATTTTGTTCGTAACTTTGATGTTGCATCATACCGGGAGAGAGTTAAGGGTATGGATTCTGCTGAGATTTGTGAGTTAGTTAGAAATGTCTTCAAGCCTGACAAAAAATTTTCCTTTCTAAGACTAATGGTAGAAGCTTTAGGTATAATTGGTTGGGATGGTATTCGTGGCTTTGCTATTCACCATCTATGGATGGTGCATTTTGTTTGTCTTGTGTGTTGTTTGGAGATATTTTTTCTGGTAAAGATAAAAAGATAACTAGATTGTTTTTGATGTTGGAATGATGCTGCATTTACTTTTAAAAAACATGCTGGCCATAGTACAGGAGGAGAAATGGGACTGCATGCCTCAACATTTCCAATGTTAACTGCATTACTTGCTCAAATGTCGGGGGCTGCACAACCCATAGAGGTCATATTCTATAAGAATGTTAAGAAAGAAATTGAGGAGAACAGGAATAAGCTGACTTTGATTGCTGATGCTGTCCTCTATGGTCGTTGTCTAGGTTTGCCACTACGCGGCCATCGTGATGATTGTAAGTATCATCCAGAGGTCAGACAGTATTCTACTGGGGGTGTTGACAACTTTATTGAAACTCTTAACTTAAAAGTGCGGTGATAAAGGTGATAAAGTTTTAGAGAATCACTTGAAAACATGTGGCAAAAATAAAAGCTACATTTCTAAGACCAGTCAAGATTAGATGATCAAGTGCTTTGGTCAGGTTATCTCCGAACAGATTGTAAATGATATTAAGGAAAGTAAGTTCTTTACTATTATTGCTGATGATACTGCAGATTATCACACAAAGAGCAAATGGCCATTGTTTTGCATTTTGTTGATAAAAATATGGATATTAGAGTGGAGTTTATTGCTTTCCTTCAGTGTATGTGGGGATTAAGTGGAGAGAATCTTGCCAAACTTTTATTACATGCTCTCAATGACCTTGATTTGCCGATTGAGGATTGTCAAGGACAGGGGTATGATGGTGCTGGTTGTGTAAAAGGTTTGGCTGCTCATAAGGTAGAGCCCAATGGCCAATCCATTCTTTGGATGCAAGATTTTACATTGATAGTGTTAATGTTTACCTAGGGCTTTATAGCATTGTGCCTGCAGTGATCACATGATAGACATGTGATACAATAACATTTATATATAGTTTTAGGGTGTGTTCACATTAGTGATTGATTGAGCGTTGAATAAATAAGTACAACATTACAATGGCGACGAGGAAAAATGTGCTAAAACGAAAGTTATAATCGATATCAGTGCTTTAGTATGGCAACTGCGGGAAAGATAGATGTAGCTCCTCTTGCTCCGTTTGATCCGATATCAGAACCGACATCCTTAAGTCAATGATGGAAAGTTTGGAAACGCAGATTCGAAACGTATTTAGTCGCGGTAAATGTGAAAGATAATGCCCAGAAACGAGCATTGTTACTTTATCAAGCCGGTGAGGCAACACAGGAAATCTTCGATACACTTTCAGAGACAGGAGAGGACAATGATTACAAGACTGCAATTGAGAAATTGGACGAATATTTTTCCCCGAAGAAAAATGTGGATTACGAGATATTTCAATTCCGTCAAGCAAAGCAAAACGCCGATGAACGAACAGACCAATTTGCAACACGACTTCGCAAACTAGCAGCTCACTGTGAATTCCACGATGTAGACCATGAAATAAAATCGGCTATTATTCAAAATTGTCGATCTAAACATCTCAGGCGGTATGCCTTACGGCAAGATAAAGTGACTCACCGAGTTGTTATCGAAAGCTAGAACATTGGAAAATAGCGAACAGCAAGCCAAGGGCATTGAAGAACGTTTAGCATCGACTAATATTCAAGACGAAGAAGCAAATTTTGTAAATCCCCCAAGATCTAATGGACAACAGCGACGACAACAGTGTCGCAACTGTGGATTATCTTGGCCTCATCGTGACGCACCTTGCCCTTCTAAAGGACAAACATGTCGAAAATGTAATAAACAAAACCATTATGCCCGAGTTTGTCGCAGCAGCGTCCCATCGACAAGGAATCCTATTAATACAAGACCTATCCGCCCAGACAACAATCAACACAATATTCAACAGGTTGGATATCAAGAAGACCACTATTCGAATAGCCCTAGTAGCAGCAGCGATGATGAGCATTTATATACATGTGTCGCCTCTAAATCAACAAAAATGCCTTCGACCAAAGTACAAATAAACAATGTACATGTCAAAATGATCATAGACACTGGGGCATCAATTAACATTATTGACGAAAATACATTCGCCAATATCAACAAATACAAACGTATCTCATTAAAACGAACACGTACTAAACTCTTTGCATATGGTTCCAAACAACAATTACCAGTGATTGGGACATTCGAAGCCACAATCGAGACAAAAAAACGAATGACTGTCTCTACTATTCATGTAGTCAGAGGCAATTATGGCTCACTGTTAAGTTATCAAACGGCTACAGAACTAAACCTTATAAAAGTAAATGTCAACAATGTCAAAGTCACCGGTAATGACAAAATTGAACAATGTCACGACTCTCTAAAAGATAAAATGGACAAAAAATTTCCCCATTTGTTTCATGGAATTGGAAAATTACACAATTTTGAGGCAAAGTTGCATATTGATTCTTCTGTACCCCCTGTAGCACAACCAGCACGTCGAATTCCATTTTATTTACGAAGAAAAGTTTCTGCTGCTCTTAAACAACTGGAAAAGGATGACATAATTGAGAAAGTTGAGGGGCCCACACCATGGATTTCGCCTCTGGTTGTTATTCCCAAAAATGACGGAACTGTGCGCCTCTGCGTTGACATGAGGCGTGCAAACTGTGCTATCCAGAGAGAGCGACACCCATGTCCCACGGTTGATGATCTTATACATGCAATGAATGGTGCCAAGGTATTCTCCAAACTAGACTTGCGTTCGGGATATCATCAGTTGTTGTTAGCAGAGGAAAGCAGATATATTACCACCTTTGTGACACATAAAGGATTACGTAGATATAAAAGGCTTAATTTTGGAACTAATTCAGCTAGTGAACTATTCCAGAAAGTTATCCACGATCAAATTCATGACATACCTGGTGCTATCAATATAAGTGATGATGTCATAATCTATGGGAAATCTCAACAAGAACACGATACCGCTCTTCACAATGTTTGTCAGCGCTTTACCAAAGTTGGTCTAACTTTGAACAACGAAAAATGCCAATTCAGTCAAACCAAATTGACATTTTTTGGTATGGTTTTCTCGGCAGAAGGAATTTCTGCGGATCCTCATAAAGTTTCAGCAATCAAGAATGCATCACCACCAAGCTCTGTTAAGGATGTTCGTAGTTTTCTAGGAATGGCCACCTACTGTGCCAAATTTATACCCAACTTCAGTCACTTGAGTGAACCTCTTCGTAAGTTAACCATGAAAAGTGCTCAATTCCGTTGGACAAGATGTGAACAAACTGCATTTGATAACATTAAAAATGCTTTGACCAGTGATACAGTAATGGCTTACTTTGACCAAACAAAACCAACTGAATTAATCACAGATGCATCGCCATGGGGGTTATCTGCAATACTTGCTCAAAATTCAACACAACATGATGATCGCCGAATTGTGGCTTATGTTAGTCGGTCGTTATCTGAGGTAGAGAGAAAATATTCACAAACAGAACGCGAGGCACTCGCTATTGTTTGGGCTATGGAACGGTTGCAGATATATTTACGTGGTGGTAAGTTTACTTTATACACCGATTGCAAGCCCATTGAACTAATCCTAGGAAACCCGAAGTCCAAACCCCCTGCACGCATAGAACGCTGGAACTTAAGAATTCAGGACTTTGATTTTGATATAATGTACACTAAAGGCAGTGATAATACCTCCGATTTTTTATCCCGCCACCCCTGTCAAGAAACAGATAACAAACATGAAATGTCAGCAGAACAATATGTAAATTTCCTCACCATGCATGCAGTTCCAAAAGCGATGACTATACAGGAAATACAAGAAGCTACTAAACACGATAAAACTTTACAACTGCTTACTGAAATTATTCGCAAGCAAGCATGGGGCTCCATAAAAGACTTGCCAACAACTGGAGAAGACGTAAGTGAATTGAATCTGTTTGCAAAGGTAAGAGATGAACTAACAATTAATGAACAGTTGGGTATTATTCTGAGAGGAACTCGTATTATTATGCCTTGTTCACTTCGCGAAAGAGCTATACGACTTGCGCATGAAGGCCATCAAGGGTTGGCAAAAACAAAACAACTGATTCGGGAAAAAATTTGGTTCCCTAGAATAGATAAAGATGTTGAAACATTGATTCGTGGTTGCATACCTTGTCAGGCCAATGGCACAGCAAATCACCCTGCCCCATTAAAGATGACCGAGTTACCCCCTAAGCCATGGCACACGGTCCATGTTGATTTTTGTGGACCATTTCCAACAGGGGAATATACTTTAGTTGTCATCGACGCTTACTCCCGCTTCCCAGAAGTTGAAATTGTGAAGTCTACATCAGCCACCTCAACCATATCTAAGCTCGAAAGAATATTTGCAACCCATGGACTGCCAAACATACTAAAAAGTGATAATGGCCCTCCCTTTCAAAGTAATGAATTTAAACAGTTCATGACAGAAAATGGTATAAAACATCAAAGAATCACACCATTATGGCCAAAAGCCAACTCTGAAGCAGAGAATTTTATGAAACCAATGGAGAAAGCTATTCGTGGAGCTCACATTGAGAAAAAAAATTGGCGGAAAGAATTGTACCACTTTTTATTGAACTATCGAGCTACCCCACACACAACAACAAAGTTCGCGCCAGCTGAACTTTTATTCAATCGAGAAATTAACACCAAATTACCAAGTAAAATTATCAACCAAAACACCAAGATTGATCAACAAGTTCGAGCAAACGATGAAACGGGTAAAAGAAACATGAAAAGAAATGCAGACAAGTCAGCCAATGCCAAAGAGGTTGACATTAAGGTTGGTGATACAGTATTGGTCCGTCAGACAAAAAAGAATAAATGGTCAACACGGTTTGATCCTAAACCATATTGTGTAACGCGGGTGAAAGGAACAATGATAACAGCTACTCGTCCAGGACATTATATTACAAGAAACATTTCATTTTTCAAGAAAGTGCTACAACAAGAAATTCAACACAACTCTGAGGATGCAAGCGATGAGGAAGATTACAGTAAACTTGATAATAACCTCCCTGACACAAACATTGAGGAGAACAATGAACTTGCTGAGAGACGGTATCCTGCGAGAGACAGAAGACCTATCAATAGATATAGTCAAAACATATATAATGCTTAGTAATTTTAATAATTCGATTTTATAATACCATTGACATTTTGTTAGGACTTCAGTGACAATTCAAAGTAAGGGAGGGATGCAGTGATCACATGATAGACATGTGATACAATAACATTTATATATAGTTTTAGGGTGTGTTCACATTAGTGATTGATTGAGCGTTGAATAAATAAGTACAACATTACAGTGCGCTTTCATGAAACGAACTTAATTCATATTTTACTCGAGTGAAATAGGCGTACTTCTAATTTTGATTTAGACAGGCGTGCTTTTCATGAGCCGTACCTAGTTATTTGCGCTGCTTCACTTCGAAACCTGGGGCGAGTAACATTTCATAATAAGAAAAAAGGGTTTATCACATGCAATCTTGGCATTTGTGAGCGTCTACAGGTTTGCGGTTATTAAAAATTTCAACTGCTTTTTGACAAGCCTTAATTATTACTACAAACATAGCATAATGCCTGGATATAATGTGTGGGAAAACGAGACCCATAGGCTTAGTGCGAGTTTTTCCACGTTATTCGAGTTCTCCCAAACTACGTATACTGCAGGTGTTTCTATAACTGTATGGGTCACACATAATAAATGTTTTATATTTATTTCATATAATATAACTAAAAAAAGATTTGTAGTGGACTCGATATATTTACAAATTCTCATTAGTACGTAATAATACCGACCTTTGCTCCATCAATTTCACTGCAAGAAAGAACTTTGTTTGAAAATTACAGTCAAAATATTAATACAAAAACCTTCCCACTTCCACGATTTGTTTTGTATTTCTGTAATTTTTTTTTGTAATTTGTTCTATTTTTCTGTAGCGATTAATTACCGCTTTTTGCCTTTATCGGCAAATATCACTATAAGCCTAATTTCCCAACTTTTATGCAAAGAATCTAACGAAAGGCGTATCCTTTGCTATACAAATTGACGTATATAAAGAAAAGAAGAGAAAAGAAAGGGGAATTCTACCGCGATATTTGCCGATAAAGCGGTAATCACTACAGAAAAAATAGAACAAATTACCGAAATTCAAGACAAGCTATCAGCGGAAGTGGGAAGGTTTTTGTATTTTGACTGTAATAGTAACAAAGTGAGCTGCGTAGTTAAAATTGTTTTTAACGTTTCTTAATTTGCATTAAAATTGTTTTGTTTACGATTGTAAGTTTAGGCGGGAAATTTCCTGTATAGAAACACGCATCTCGACCAATCAACGCTCGCGTACTATAAATGTTCTATTTTATCGTAATTTATGCATTTGGTGCGGCTCATGTAAAGCACGGCAGTATAAATCAACATGTGCTTCAGCCGTGTAGCACGCCTGAACCACGCGAACTTTTTAATTTAGCCGTGCTTAATATTAAGTGCAGTGCTTAATTGATTTAGACGCCGTGCTTCTCATGTGCTTAATTCATTGTATTAAGTTCGGCTCATGAAACGTACGGCGTCTAAACCGGGCCTAAGCTTCGTACGTGAACGCTTATTTTATCATAGACATACTTAGTTGTCTTCAGGGACGTGCTAGGGAAGAGACGACGAGAACTTGTTGTGGGCCGCTGCCATCATGGGCACCTAAAATCAAAACATTGGAAAAGTTAGAAAATATAGATTTTAATTTTGAAAATCAAGATGAAAATATTACAATTTATATTTTAAAAATCTATATTTACGAAAATATTACAGAACAGTTAACATAAGGCCTTTTATCTCTCGCGCTGCATTTCCTTCAAGCAAAGACTATAAAGAGTTAAATTTTTTACTTTCGAGATACTCGGATTGCTGTGAATTGCTGTGAAGTGCCGGGTAAACGGTCAACTGTCAGATTCTGTGCCAGTGGCCTGCGGTGTCCCTCAAGGTAGCAGTCTAGGGCCATTGCTATTCCTCATCTACATTAATGATTTACCGAACTGTCTTGATCATACAACTGCAAGAATGTTCGCAGATGATACAAGTATTAGTTGCGTCCGACTCGATCAGCCAAATAGCTCCAAAATGTCATTAACACCGAATTGAAAGGTCTAAGCGATTGGCTAACCACTAATAAACTAAGCTTAAATATTGTAAAAACAGAATTCATGGTAGTTGGATCTAGACTGAGAATAAAAACACTAAATAATGAAATAGATATTGAGATAAACGGTAATATGGTCAACCAAGTTACTTCGGTAAAATCTCTGGGTGTCCATCTTGATAATCACCTTATGTGGTCTGAGCATACTGATAAACTATGTAAAAGTGAAATTGCTTCAGCCATAGGGGCTTTAAAACGTATAAGATCCTGCATTTCAACGAACACGGCTATCCAAGTATACCAAGCACTGATTCAACCTCATTTTGA